TAAACATTCTTCTCTGGAACAGCGCTGACGCTGGCAAGGACGAACGTTTCATTCCGGAGAGAGTTCGCAAGCGCAAGATCTCCGGATGTATACCCTGCTAACTTGGAGTACGCAGATTATATGTTGAACAGCACGGGAGCGAGTTCTTTCCCAAGACAGATTCTGCGTGGAACAGAGCTGCGAAAGTTAGCCTGTTCCTTAATGCCCAGAAGTTAGAATTTGACGAAGTCATCTGCCACGGCTGGTCTAAACGTGGAATAGCAGTGACGCTGCTCATCAGGTGGACAAGCTTAAGTGTCTCGGCTCCATAATGGCATACCGAGGCAGAGTTTAAAAGATGATTGCCCTAGCTTGCACTGCTTTAGAAAACTTGGCCAATATTTCATTTCGAAATGGAGTAGTTTTTCTACAAAAATCGCTTCCTCCGGTCAGGTCAATTTTGCTGTACGTAATGGACCGATTGTGGAAAAGCAACTACAACTAAAACAACTAAAGAACTATTGCGCTCTGTACAGCAGCGTTTCCTTCGACGCATGATGAGAAACAGGCGGCTGGACAACGTACAAAACGGCATATTTTATTTCGGACGGGGGTAGCCTCGGCATATGTGGAGATAAAGAAAACAGGGTTGAGAAACATTGGCAGAGTATGAACCATTTACTCAAGCCCATGAGCCTCTTACAGTGGAGCTGAACACGGTAGATGAAAGCAAGAAGGTCAGCATAGAAGAAACAGTAATTGGAGAGAAATACTAATATCAGTAAATAAGAGGAATGAAAGAATACGTTATACGATATAGTAGTCGGTTCTCTGAAGCAAAATCAACAACGGCTCAATGCAATGGCCTCGACAAACAAGCACACACAAAACCAGCAGATGCAGTGCACAGATGTACCAGGACAGGTCACACGTGCATTATCGTGGTAAGTGTATGCAAATTGGTCCTCGCAGTCGAGGATCAGTTAAAACTGAAAGTTCATTATGGCGAAAATCAAAACACATGAGGTTATACAAGTCGGATAGTGATCGATGCTCCTATTAAAGTTGCTCAATGCAGCAGGAAAAGATGTTGAAAAACAGGAAGGCGAACTAATGGATAAAGACACAATCTGTGATGCTACTGCATGAAGGAAATTAAATTGGCAATAGACAGGACGTATTACCGAAAGAACCGACCAACGCAGAACAAAACATGTTACACTGGGCTGCAAATGAGAGCTACTTGCCGTTAAAAAGACCTATAGATCGATGTAGGATGAACTGAACAAACTCGCTAGATCAGAAATGACAGGAAACAGAAGTCAGCGGCACAATTTGAAAGTTTTATCCTGCAAAGGATGGAAAATGGTTGATGATAATTTACACCCTATGATCTCATTGAAGAGTATCAATACTGTTTTGTGATTACTATTACGTGATTTCCTTTCAAAACAGATTCAGCTTGATCTGAAACAGCGAGATTTTGTTCAATAAAATATATATGCTGAGTAAACAACTTGAAGATGTTGACGAGATATAAACTTTTACATTTCGTTAGCCAACACCGCCTAACACTGATTTACATCAAAAAAAACTGTGATGCGTGACGACAGGTTTCTCATGTAGTAAATTCACTGGCAAAAAATTTACTTCGTAATAAATTTCAAAGTAACTTTCAATCAATAGCTACAAGAACAATTTTAACAGTAGACAATAGCATACTATCATTGAAATTTCAAGTGACTGGCTGCGCAAATTTAGTTATTTTTTCTTGAATTTTTTCAGCAGTTTGCAAGTTTTTGACAAGTCTTTTATCAATGCTGCACTAGCTTCACGGGTAAGTTCTTCCTTTGAGGCCAGCTGTTCTTTTGCACATTTTAATTCCCCTTCCATTTTCGTCAGCTGTTGCTCAATCTCTTTGATCTCGTTCATTAAGCGCTTGTTCTATAAAAATGCGTTTTAAAACAAAACAAAAAACAAACTAAAAGTACTTCAGAAGACATCAATTTAGCGAAATCCAGAAATTCCATAAAGCTTTCTCGGTTGCCCATTGTGCGAAAAACAGCGCTCAGCATCTTCAAAATTTGCCGAATATCCTTTTTTTCTTGTCGATCACTCTATAAATGAAATAATCAATCAAATATCTAATTAATGATAATCTACTGATGCGAATTTCCGGTATGTTTGCATAATAGCATATTTGCTGCGTTGTGCCTCACGACAAACAAAATCCACGTTCAAAAACTATGATAATATGCCGTCATTATGTGAACAACGATGAACTAAAATGGAACGTTGAAAGTCCAAGACATGATCGTTTCAAAGAGAAACGCGATAAACTATTTTAATATTAAAAATCTCCAACCTTCAAGATGACATTATAAGTAAACTAAAATGATTTCACAGAATTTTCTAAAAATGAAAATATAATTGGGCATATAACTGAGATGGAGACGCTTCAAAAAATAGATAGCCCAGAGCAAATTAACAGTCTTGAAGCGTCAACGTAAACAACATAGCTGGAGACTTGGCATACGCTATAAGAATAGGATCAGCAACCTCCTCCGGAAAGCAAAATAAATGAATGGTCCCTAGTATTTATTTACAGGCATCCATGACGAATCCGAAACAGAACACAGAATGTCGCGGTTTACTCTTGTTTTATTCATTTTGCAAAATTTTCCACGCCTTGAGAATAACATGTAAAAATCATTGACGGTGAATGAACCGAAACCAGAAATGACGCTGAAGACCAAAATCGAATGTACCAACTGTCAAAAATAACTGCCAAGTATGTCGACAAAAATTAGGTTTGAAATCAATTCAGCCTAGTCAAAGAAACATTCCCACAAAATGGCTATTTTCTCTTTATTTAGCGGTGAATCTATCCTTAATGACAGTGCCTTGCACAAATGCAAAGGATCGAACATACGACCGACTGTTATCTCTTAAATGAAAAAGGAATTGCAGTTCAAAATTCGACTCATTATGAAATCATATCAGGAATCAATCGGTACATATTCGGACATGGTACTAAAAAGTAAGGATGAACTGAAAGAAGGTTCAATCTTCTTTAATACAAAAGTTTCACCACTAATTCATAATGGCATTAAGCTGAATACTCGAGCTGGCCCCAATGATATCTGAACAAAGCGAAAGATATGAAAGATAAAGGCAAAGATGAATAAATAATATTTGTGGCTTAGCGCAAGTAATTACACAAGACAATGACATATTTTACAGTGCTTAAATCCATTATCGTTGCCCATTAAGAAATTTAAAAAGTATGAATTTTTTGTT